GCTGAATAGTCTCCTGCAAGAGGGCAAGGAGAGGACTTATTTGCAGCTGATTGGGAGTGATGACCTTTGAACAACACTCTCAAGTAGCCTAACCCTCAAACCCTTGGTTTTCTTTACAACACTAACTATTGTTGTTACAATAACTTCCTATAATGTAAGATATGTTGGACTACAGCAGTGTCACCAACCAGTAGATCGGGATCCACTGGTAGATCTTGGAGCCTCTGACAGGTGATCCTGACTGGTTTGGCCAAGAGACTATCAAGTGCCGGCACTGCAGCTGTCCCTTCCCCCTACTGCTGCACATCTCCTGCCCTTTGCCTTGGAGCTGCCTCCTCCCACCCCCAGGAGCCTCCTGCTTGCTATGCAGGGCAGGGGAGGGAAAGGAGGGGCGCTGATGTCAAGGTGCCTCCTCTTCCACGCTGTATCCTATCTCCACAGAGCAGGGTGGGGGGCACAGCAGGACATGGGAGGAAGTTCACTGGCTGTTTTTGGGAGTAGTTCAGGGCCAGGGCAGGGGTGAGCTTTAGTCCCACTGCACCACCACCCAGGAGCCACCTGAGGTAAGTGGTGCCCAGTTGGAGCCCACATCCTGAAACCCTACCCCAGTCATGAACCTCCCTCCTGTACCCCAAGCCCCTTCCCTGGTCCTGAGCACTCCTGCATCCAAACCTCCTCCCAGAACCTGCACCTAGAATCCCCCTCTGGCACCTCAATTGCCTGCCCCAAGCTCAGCTCAGAGCTCCTCTCACACTCCAAATCCCTTAATCCAAGACAATCCTGCTGCCCCTGCCTGGTGGAAGTGAGGGAAGATGGGGGAGGAAGGGAGGATGGAGTGGGTAGGGGTGGCGCCTCAAAGAAGGAGCACAAAGGAGGCGGGGCAAGGGTTTTTGGGTTTGAGGTTGATCTTGGATTGCACTTAAATTCAAAAAGTGATCTCATGCTTAAAAAGGTTGGAGACCATTTAGAGAACATAAATAGAATTTTAGGGGGGGGGTGGAAGTCAAGAAACTTAAAAGTAAACACATACATTGCTTAGAGCCCTGCAAATCCATGGATATCCGCTTTATAGCCACTAGTATCTGCATCTGCAGATGTCCCTGCTGATATCCGTGGCTTTTTTTTTTCCTGTGGATACAGTTGTGGGTGCAAACCTTGTCTCCGCACAGGGCTCTACAAATAGTTTTGGTTTTGTGAATGCTGAATGCTGCACAGTCTGGCTCCTGCATCGCAACTAAGACATGAAATTGACCATAAACAGAACTGACCAGTTTCCCTGTCCATGCTGGACGAGGTGCAAAAAAAGCCTCATAGGATCTCTCTCCCCTCTTGTGTATTATTATTGATTATTGGTACTACAGTAACTCTAGAGGCCCCAAGTGAGATAGGACCCATTGTATCAGCCCATGATAAAAGAGAGCTCCTGCATTAATGATTCTATAATCTAAAAACAGACAGAAGGTCAGTGGGAGGGGAGCAGAGGCCAGGAGGGTGAAGTGACTTTTGTCAGCATCACACAGCAGATCAGTGGCAGAGCTGGGACTAGACCCTGGAGAACCTCAGTCCCACTACAGTGCCTTGCTGATTTGACATCCTCTCTGTTCCTTGCTCCCTTATGCTCCATCAAGCCACCCGAGGGGCTTTGCTGGTGGGGGCTGTCTGAGCTCTCAAACTTTTTTCCCAGCTGCTGGTCTGGCTACTGTGAACAGCTAAATCAGGAAGGAGCTGAGGCCATTGCATTCAGCTTGTTTGGCTCCACAGCCCTGACCTTATCTGTATCCCTGATTAGAAAAAAATGCATCCGTGCATGGGGATGAAGGGTACAGCTGTTTCCCTTCCACAAACCTCCCCCTGGGACCATCTGCGCAGATGGGGAGGGGAAGTTAGGAAATGTAGGTTTGTTCCATTCCGACACAATCTTGTTGACAGGCATTGGGCGAGTGTTTTAACCTCAGTGCTTCAATTTCTCTGTAACTGGGATAGCACCGCCTGCCAGGGGCTTTGGTATGCTAAGCTAAAATGGCGTGGATGGCAGGTGCTATAGAAATGCAAAATATATTGGGCCAGACAAGAGCCCCTCTCTCCCCCTCAACACAGTCCAGAAAAGCAGGACAGGTTTCTCTTGGCTAGAGAAAAGTAGATTTGCAGGTGCACCCCTGAAGCAGCATGTTCTACGTTGTCATCTATCCAATGTAAAAACCCTGAAGAATATTAAATATGGTTTTTATCGGGGCCAGGTCCTTTTATACGGTTTGGATAAAATCATAGGGAAAAACTCTTTGTGGCAAAAGCAAATAGACAAGGGAATAGCAGCCAAGAGAGGTCAAAGAGTTATCATCCCTGCTGCACATTGAAATTGATTAGATAAAGCCTAGTGTTGGGCCAACCTGCATTCCCCTGGGAGGGAGGTGAATTTTGACCTGGGAGGGAGGTGAATGTCCCCAGCAGTGACACCTTTTGTACCTACCCAGCTGATAGCATCTCTATTTTCCAGCAGTATTTTGACTTTCAGGGCATGAATGAAGGAGGTGAGACAACATAGGATTGTTAATGTCAAGTATTCAGAATGAGGGTGGTCTCCCCCCCTCCTCCCCCTTTCGCTCCCAGACAGGAAATAATACTGGTTTAAAAAATAAATTCTGGCTAAATTTTTTTCTGCTTTTGAAGACGCCAGGGTTCATATTTTCAAGCTTCTCTCATGAGGCTGGAATCCTTCTTCTTCTTCTTCTTCTTTTTTTTGAGATTCCCATGTAGTCACATGAGTCAGGCAGAGGAGCCCTTAAGAGAAACACTGGTTGTTGCCAACACTCACGATAAAATTGCAGGAGGTGACAAATGACTTTGCATCCAACAGTCCTCTGGTGTGGCCACAGCCCTCAGTTGGCAGGGCCTGTCCACGCTAGCCACCATGCCTAAGAACCTGGTTTCCTTCACACTTTGATCCCCAACCACCTGCAGCCCAGCAAATGGGGTAGGGGAGCAACCGGTTATGCTATTGACTTGAACGTTTGATGCAGGGCCACATTAAGGGGAAGGGCCTGCATCTCACCCCATGAGGGCCAGCAGTCTGTGTGTAGCTGGGTGGGTACAGGGTGTTTCACGCAGCACCTATCGTCCAAAACTTTAGAGTCAGGAGCATATAGGGCCATGTGGAAGCCGTTACCCTGCAGGGTCTCTCTACATCAGGGTATGTCTACACTACAGCACTAATTCAAACTAACCTAGTTAATTCGAACTAAGCTAATAAGAATTAGCGCAGCTAGACCTAAAAACTAGTTCGAATTAGCATTTTGCTAATTCGAACTAGCATGTCTACACAGAGTGGACCCTGAACCGAGGTTAAGGATGGCTGGAAGTAGTGCCGGCAGGGCATCAGAGTAGGACTTAGAGCGTGGAGCTGCTGTCTCAGGCTAGCCGAGGGCTGTGCTTAAAGGGACCCGACCCCCACCCCGGACAGACAGTTCTCAGGGGTGCCCCGCTTGCAAAGCATTGGCTTGGAGTGCCCTGAGTGCCCACACTCGGAACATCACAGCACTCGGCCATCAGCCCGGCTGGACTTGCCCCACGCC